CACATTGTTCATCATCTTCTTTCTTAAGAAAATGAAACGGAACCTAAGCTCTGAACAGTCAAGACCATTATTTCATGACAAAAACCCAAAAGCCCAAAATGAAGGAATCGCTGCTCGCTATCCTCCAAGAGCCCAAAATAAAGAAAACAACAAACTCATATTTTAAAGCCCAAACTTCTATGAAAGTCCGGATCTGCTACACCTATTTTTTTCCCTCTTACACTAATAAGCAACAGCTGTGTAATAGAACAACTCTGGGAGTATCTTTTGAATTTTAGGTTGGCGTTGTTTTCAGAGAAAAAATATAACAATAAATTATACCAATTTTAATTTCATATCCAAACATTGTTGTCATCCAGTCCATAAAGGGATCATCACCATTCACCAGTCTTCTCTCTCTCAATTACACTGCAATTTTTAATATATTTACACATGCAGAATAAACAAGTGTAAAATGTTAGGGATTGAGAGATCCTTTCCTTGCGTTACTAAGAGGACTCCTCTTCTTTTTAATTTTCTCATTCTAACAGGTCCTTGTTCTGCTCGCTATGTTTCATCAATTGTCATTAGCATTTTTTTACACTAGCTTGAAAGAATATATATATATTGTCATTGGGAATGTGGCTTTCGGAGCAGAAACACTGGACCCACCAAATTTATGTTGTTGTCAATTAGCGTTCGACCTTCTTAATTGTAATATTAATTTTATAGAAAATAGCATTAAATATCAGCGTTGATGCTACGGATGTATACAGAAAATACACGTTCAGTTGAATCAACGGCCTCCGACCTCCGAGCACTCACACCCATGGTTTTAAAACCGGATCGGACCGGATGGTCGAATCAAAAAATCGGTAACCAGTCAGCCCCCCGGGTCCAGTTATACTAGAAATTGGAAATTTGGGAAAAATGTTGAAAAGTCAAAAAACCACTGATCCGGGCGGTTGGACCACTAAACTATTCAATCCGTGCAGCGGTTTGCGGGTTATCCTTTTTTATTTTCACAATTTTAATTAAAAATAAAATAAAATGACTTGAATCCCCAAATCAAAATCGAATGCCTTTAGGGTTAGAACCCATTTTCGTTCTAACACTTCCCTTCTCTCAACCCTTACACCCAACCGACCACCTGCAGCAGCCAGTACCTCTGGTGTCCGATGACAACACACACCGACCAACGGTGAATAATGTCTACCGGCGACGGCGAGTTTGCAGCACTTACAGAGTTCCAGCCTCTAGCAGTAAGAGTTGCAGCAGGCGAGTTTGCAGCGGCAAGTTTGCAACACTTACAGAGTTCCAGCCTCCAGCTGTAAGAATTGTGGCAGGCGAGTTTGCAGCGGCAATTGACTTGTAGTGGCAGACGACGAATTTGCAGCGGCTGTCCGACGAGTTTGCAGTGGACAAACATCTCTCACAAGTCACAACCCAAACTCATGAGTTTGCAGCGAGTTTGTCTCTTT